GAACAAAGTTATGCTTTTTTGTCACATATGGAAAATAGATTGGAGCAAAAGCTCGAAGAAAGGTTGGGAAATTCGTTATTGAAGGTCCTGGATAATAGCTTGCAACAATAGTCAGCGCAGCTAAATAAAGCTAGTTGGATCGGCGCTGCAGAATCTAACTTCTCAAAAAAGATTTTCAAGAAACCACGAAACCAATATGAGTACGATACGGTCTGTGAAGCCGAAACTATGCTTCAAAAAGCTATTCAGAAGGATTCGAAGGAGAAGGTAACAGAGGTACAAGAGCTGTTAAAACTGAGGGCATTTGTTCTAAGAGTCGTGGAAGAAGAAGATTGGAAAGTGGCAGCAAAGATACCAAAACCAACCCCTAGTGAAACTGATGAATTTAGGGAATTACTAACTGAAGCAAGGAAATAAGCTAAACCTTCTGAAGGATTTCTTGCATCCTATAGTAGAGGAACCTGGAGAAGTAGAGGCAGTTCGTGGGCTCCCAGGCCAAGACGAAATTATTATACACCCTACCTGTTACTATACTCACAACCACAGCTTTATGTTCAGCACCCACCGCCTATGTTTCAAGGGTACCAGAGTCAGAATGTGATCCCGAACCCAGGTCCAGCTTACCAAAACTCGTATAACAAATCAGCAACAAAGCAGTTTAACTGCTATTTTTGTGGTGGCGCTGGTCATATAGCAGCAGTATATCCATCAAAATCTGCAGAGGGTAACTCACTAAGAAATAGATTTTTTCAGAACAAAAGCAACAATGGAAGGTGACTACACTCGGGGAAAAAGGAAGAACAAAATAACAATAATAGCTGGCGATACAGATCAGAGCAGGGAGGTTGTAAGAAAAATACACCAGCCAGCAGGCATGAGATATTGGATAGAAAAGATAGGACCCCCGCCAGTAGTAGCTTGCTGGTTAAGGAACTTAGTGACCCTGTTTCCAAGAAATATATAGAGCCTCGTCGAAAAAGGGGATCCAAAATCCTACAAACTAATGGCAGAACAAAAGGTATGGTTGGAGGAGGAGTTAA